ATAATGCATATTTACCTGAGCCTATGGAAATATCTAGTGCAAGGTATCATTTCTTCATAAAAATCATTACTATAGGTTTAGTTTTTCTTAGAATAGTTGTTCTGAATGTCATCCATTTATTGTAACAAAAAGTGAACTCTTATCCTAACTTTGATAGAAACATTTTTTTATCCTTTACTCATCTGAAAAAAATAAAACCCAAAAGGATAATATTGTCCATGTAAAATTTCATTCTCTTGGATGCCTATTTTTCTGTCATTAAAAGGGAGACATAATATAGCATTACTGACTAGACTCTGTCTAAGTGATTTTGAGATTAACATAGCTGTATTTTTCTTTATGAATGGATCATGATAATATTGCGGTTATTTTTCATTATTTTGTACAATATAGCAAAATCATCATGCTCCTCTGTTCATAAACAAACACAGCCCTGACTAGTTTTCACTGCCATCAGGCTTAAATCTTTCAGCTGTCAGAAAAACAAAGTGTCAGAAAGTAATTTTATCTTCAGTTTCATAAAAGAAATTAGAGTGCCAGTATAGCTGTCTGTTGCATTACCATGCAGCATGAGGGGACCACATCCATCTCTGACTTCTACCAGAACCTGTCTCAGCATGTAGGAGTGAACTGGTGAACAGAGCTGTGCAAACAATTGATTTTTCGATGCTTGACTGTTGAACAACAGAATGGAAGACACTTTAATCAAACCATAATCAAAAACTGAAAAGGTACTGGAATGCACTTTTTCTGCATCCAAACTAAAACCAGGAAAAATATGTTTTTGTTCATATAGCATGTTTTATGCCAGACACTTGTAATAAAATTCAAGGAATCAAAGAGCTTTGATACAGGCAGGGGCACGACCACTTTGTATTGAAGAGTGAAGGTGTTTGCCCAGCTGGTGAAAGATCTAGGGTTGGTGCCCATCTTTGTCTCAGATTTTTCAAAGCCTCCTTCCCCTCACTTCAGGCAAATGCACTAATATGTTCCTGTTTTCAGGCTCTCCCCTCAATGAGGTATAAAATATTGTACTTTATATAGAATACTTAAGTATTCATTACACAATGATTTGCCGTTAAGTTCAGAGTCTCTTGTTTCTGTCTTGTGTAATGAGTATTCTGTTATTTTTACCAAAGTGGAATAGCTTCAGCAGAACTGCTTGAAAGACATCTATCCCCCCGCAGTCCCACAGGAAGGGTGTTTCAAATTCTGAATGAGTGCACTAAACTGCTTGTTTAAAGGAGGGCTTTTCCTCCTCTGAACATCCCTGAAAAAGTATTTCCTAACTGAATCTATTTAGTAAATTCAGCTTCTGTTTGTCAACATTTCAGGCGAATGGTCATTTTACATCATCTACCAGTGGAATTTTAAAATCACAATTAAATCTTGATCTCTTGTGCTTCTTTTTTTTTTTTTTTTTTTTTTGGAGGGGTGGGGGGGAGTTGTATGCTGCTTTTTTTTTTTTTTTTTTTTTTGAGGGTTGGGGGGGAGTTGTGGTATTTTTAAGAAAGCTTCCACTTAATTTACATCTACTAAATTACCATTATTTAAGTTATGGCAGTCCTGCCTGTAGCTTGCTCGTACTGGCAGCTGGACTCAAGCATCAAAACAATCCTTCTTGGCTTTTGGACCTCTGACCTAAAAATGTTCTGTCTCTTGATCTGATTATAATAAAAATTCCTAGGAGTAGGATGGGGTGAAAAGTAGTGCCAGTGAGATATACTCTTTCAAAGAGTAAATCAGTGAAAGAAACATGTCAGAACATGTGTTATCCAGAGGCACTTAACTGAATATTGATTTTAACCTGAAAACCAAATTCTGCCTTTAAATTATGTATGTGCAACTGACTTCATGTGGCCTTTGGGCTAGAATAAGGAAAGCTTTTGTGTTACAGTGCTGGCTAGAAGGCCCGTGGCCCTACTGTGTGACATACACAGGTTCAGCCTAAAATGTAGTCGTTACCCTGCAGGGCCTAGCATCTGCAAACTTCAGCCATGAAGCAGGAATTGAGCACACATCTCCTGAATGGCAACCCCATAGGTACCAACTAGTTCACAGTGTCCCAGTTTGATTGCTACTCCTTATCTTCATGGCAGCTCCAAAAAACACCACTAAGGCAAGAGGCTTTAATCATCATGTTGTCTTCAATACCAGACATAACTGCAAAATACTGTGATGATATACTGCATATAATGCACATAACTGAGAAAATACCTGAGTGATTAGTAACTGGTGTTAGCCATGCCTAGGCAGAATATTAATCTTAGTACCCATCACAATGGCATAATGTTCTTGCCATAATCATAACAGTAATTCACAGGTTCACCAGATTTAGGCTACTGGTACATCAGAATCTGACCCTGAGAAGCAATTAGGAATGATTTGTGCACTGGATATACAGAGAATAAAAGATCAGGTCCAAGCTCTAAGTGATTTTCAGTTTCTTAATGGCAGTAGAAGGTAAGTGCAGCAGTAGGGATGCTAAGCAACTTTAAAAAAAGGCTGAAACCACCAGCTGGAAACACCTGGAGGACGAGCCAGTAAGATTTTTGCTCTTAAATTAGTCCAGCTCTCTTGATGATTTTATCCAATTAGCTTGGCCTTTTTACCTTACCATGCACCAGTGGCCTGCAATACTGATGCAGCAAAGTAATTACTCAACAGAACAAGTGTTTAGTTGCTGAGCATGAATATTAACAGCTGAATAATAGTAGCTAAATAAATAAAGATTGGTCTTCTGAATCCCAGTAGTTCCTCCAAAAACACATCAGCTAGGAACCTGGACCAGTTTAACCTTATATGTGGTAACTTGTTCAATTTGTATGCTTCAGGTAGTCCCTGGTCATTAACATTTTTACTTACAAAGTTTGTGAAGTTGCAAAATAGAAATGCACTCACTCCAAACAGAAATTACTCAGTACTGTCGCAGTAATTAAAGAAGCTTTTTCTTTTCTTTTTTTTTTTTTTTTTTTTTGTAGAAATTAGGAACCCAACATATATTTGAAAGGTACATTGAGGTCAGGCCACTTGGGCTTACCGAAGTACTTTTTACCATACTCTCCAGAGCAATAAAATCAGCATAAAAATGGGCAGAACAAACCTTCCATAGAAAAAGAAAAAAAAACCAGTGCTTGTGCTTTCCACTTAAGTTCTGCCTTTAGACACCCAAAGCTCTCTTTTTAAGGCCACAGTTTTGTTGTCCTTTTATCATTGGTAATTTATATCTCTAAATTTTAAAGATATCTGCTGGATATACTCCAACTAATAAATAATAGTGGCACCATATATGTTAATTTACATCAGATGTCTCTCTAGAACACCCCCCTTTTATTTAACTATGTTTTGATAAGGTACGTCAGCAATTTTGACTTCTTAAAGCTTTAACTAAGTAAGATAATTTTGTTACTTTTGTTCTGTTTAGTTTTACACTATACAGCATTATTCTTCTGACATAATCAGCTAGCTTGCATGATGGAATGATGCATCAAGGAGACCAGCTCAAGGTATGCAGGGTGCCTTTGCCGCTGAGGACTGCTTGAGTTCCACAGAGAAATGTGAACAGATAGGGTGTTTTCAACTTAAGATAGCAACATAGCAAATAGCAATGCAATGTTGTCATTTTGAGGTAAAAGGTAGCAATCTGTTATTGTGATCAGAGTTATTTAAAGGCTGCTTTCAAATTAGCTTTGTAGTCACAAATGTGTAAATATTTAATTTTTTTCTAAGTGAACATGAACCAGTTCCTTGAGTGAAAACAGAACATGTCTGAATTGAATGCAGTCCTGTACAAAAATGATGATTTCTTTCACAGGAAAAACATATTGAAAGTAATGTATCCGATGGAACTGCAGCCTTGACAGATGTAGATAAATAAAAGCTAAAATGCAGTGCTAGTGTTTGTCACAGGAAACATAATGCAGAATTTAGGCCAAGACGTATTATGAATTTAGCACAGCTTTAAATACAGTACCCAAACTTGAGAAATTATTCCAATTAAGTGTAACACTTCTTTCTTTAGAGTCTTCCCTGTTTTGCAGCGCTAACTTCAGCCATTGCACTCCAGCTATAAATGCTTAGATGAAGGAATTAGTGCGTACCTGGCATTGTCACTCTGGTATCGATACCAGAAAACTGCGTGCTGCATTCTGGGCCCACCATCTGAACTTTTTACCGAGATGCAGTCTTGTAGAAAATCAAAATGCATAGCGCCTATCTGTTACTCCTTTGATAAAAAAGTGCAATGAAGTTAACATGGCTTTCTTGTCTGTTCTCCTATTTCTCTTTCTTACTCACCACTCACTACTTGTATTGCACCTTCATCAGCCCATGATGGTTTTCCTAAGTTTAGCTGAGATTCTGCATGAGCAAAACAGCAGTATTTGATCCCAGACACCAAATTAAATTAGCAGTGTTAATTAACTGCTCTCAGATGAGTCACCTTCTACTTCCAGTAAGACTCCGCATCCAAACCTTGGCATAAGCCTACAAGTAAATTATCTCAGTACAGCTTAGCTGCTGCTCATGTGATGGAGGAAAGAAAACGGGCAGCTTCATTCTCTTTCGGATGGACTCGGTGAACACCCTGTTACATTCCCAGCCTACACCAGCTGTTTCCTCCTTCCATGGTGTTATTTTTCCATGGAACCAAAGAGCACTCAGTTCTCTGCATCCAGCAGAGAAGACAAATGCTGCTCTGCCTACAGACTGCAAAGGAGAGAGGGAGGGAGAGAGAGAAGCTTTGTGCCTTCCCTGCTTCTCCCTCACCCCAGCTTTGTGCTCCGGCCAGATGCAGGGTGACCCTAAGCAGTTACATGTATGGACTTAAAGATTACAAGACAGAAAGTGGATGGTCCTTTTTCTCTCTCCTCCTATATACGGAATTCCCACTGGCTTTCCTTGGTGCTCCCTCTATAGACTGATGAGCAACAGGTCAGAGGAGACAGAAAGGCTTTTTACCTGCCAACCCCAGAGTTCAGGATGTGTTGTTTCTCCTGCAGCAGTTGATGACACCCTAACACCTTAGCAGCACTGGAGCTGCATTCCTACGCTGTAACAGGGGAAGCAGGACCAAGGGCCTGAACTAAGGTCTTGGCAGGTAAGTGAAGGAGTAACCAGTATCAAATGGCTTCATTTGAAAGTGTACGTCTTTGTAATGTTTAAGTCTTAATATGTGCTCTGCTTTACCTGGGAGCTTCCACTTTTCAGAAGAGTATGAGATCACCTATTAACTTTGCCAAATGCTTGGAAAAGTGTTGATAAAACTCATACATGCAGAGGGGCTATAAGGAAAGGTTATTGGTGCTAAAAATGTCTCAAAGCTGGGATTTCTTCTTAGAGCTGAGCAGAAGTTATTCAGATTAGTGGGGGAGGGAGAGGCTTTATGCTACTAACATATTTTTGTATATTGCCACTTAGGATGACTGAGAGCATCACTGTATGGTGAATACTCAATATGCAAAATATGAGCTCTGTTGGGATTGGGAGTGGGGATTTTTTGCTTGGTTGCTTGTTTTCTCAGTTGGGCATGTAGAGAACACCTGATGAAAGGAAATCTCCATCTCCTTACTACATTCCACTTCTTAAGCTTAATTATTGGAACTAGGATTCCTATATGAATACTTCTGTCACTCACAATGTACTTTTTTCTGTAGTTATCAGTAACTGTGTTTTCAGTGGCAATACTGTGTTCCAGAACATTCATAGAGGGCACACACAGAGGAAGTTGCTACCACTAAAGCAAATCCAATTAAAAAGATATTTACAGAAAAATATGTGATGCTAGTTACCAGCTCAAAAGAGAAGAAAACAAAAGTAATTAAAAACATCCTTACATAAAGGAAGTCTTTCTTTTTCTTGCTTCTGGTAATATGAGGGTAATGGATGCCTTTCTATTGAGAGGCCAGTAAGCTTTATTTTTCAGAATGAAAAACAAATTTGGGTCAGAGAAAGAAATCATAAGGAGCTGCTACATGCAAAGTTCTGTACCCAAGCCATCTACTGCCACCGTATCATGGAGAAAAAAAAGGGAATGTTCATAAAGAATGGACAACCATCCAGAACTGATGGGGCCCCAAAGCCTCATCAATGTCTAATTCAGATATTCTTATCCTCTCTACCCTTATTGTTACTAATATTCTCAATTTACTAAGTGAAATAACTGCAAAAGTGACCTCTAAGTTTATGTCCATCTTTCAGTTTATTAACTGTGAGCTTGTAAAAAATTACACATGCTATAGCAACTGTTAATTAACTTCCATCAGAATTAAGGCAGTCATCATAAAAAAATTCTCTCCAAAATCTGGGTTTTAAATTTTAGGGACAAGAGTGAAAAATTACACTTTACATAGGTTTATAATTTAAAAGTTTGCATTACTATAGTCATTCTTTTAAATTAACTTTCTCTAGACAAAATAAAGTGTTGTACTACATTGCAGCCTCACTGTTAGGAATGAAGATAGAGGAGACAATGCAGGAAGGCCAACACATACGACCAAAATGGAAAGTATCCAAGTCATAGAAGAATGGTAAGTTGGTCAAACTGTGGTCCAGTAAATGCTTTTAATTTGTGTATAACTAATATCAAGATGTGCCTTGGGTTTTATACTCTGGGAATGTCCTTTTTAATTGCTTTTCCTCCAAAAATTTCTATGAAAAGGAAGCAAAATCTGCCCTGACAATGAAATGCCAAGAGAGACATTCATAAGTCAGGTTTACTTACAGTTCCTTATTTGTGGGGTAAGAACGGTGGGGTGGAATGGGAGGTGCATGCACAGTTCCATAGATCTATAGCCTCTATAAGAAGCCTCTGCTTACCCGAGGGAGCATTTTCTTCTCTTTACCCAGACAAGAAAAAAACTAACGGGCAAAAGTATCATTCACAATAAGATTTTTAACATGGCTACCTTTCATAAAACAGCTTGGGCTATGGTTTCACCTGAATTAACCAAGGAAACACATACCTTGAAAAAAGGCTAATACACACTGAAAGTCTGAGCTTCTGTTTCTGTCTAAAGCTTGGGCCCATATTTATTGTGTTGGAAAAAATGCTAACCTATCAGTGGCCTCGAGTTCTCTGATCCCATAAAAAGTAAATTGAAACTTAACTTTAGAGGATATGATTGATGTAAAAGCAACCCAAACAACTCATTGTCTTTATTGCTACTCATGGTTATTTATGAGAGGACCATGTTGGAAATTTCCACAGAATACTATAGTGAAGAGATCTTCCCAATAGACAAGGAGGCAGCACAGGTTGCTTGTCAGCTCCATCCACCTCAGCAGGTTCTTTTCACCCTCCTCAGAGAGAGAACTTTTCACCTTCAAATCTGTGTGCTTGTACTTTTTGGTTTAGATTACAATTATTTTGCTGGATAGTTTAAACCTTAAACACTTTCTCATTTATTATATTCTTTTTGACTGCCAAAAAGCTACCACAGATAGCTCTCTGTCATCCAGTCTGCCTCACACGCAGAGTAGGAGTTGATAAGTGGACTTGAAGAGAAATCAATTAGACAAATGTCCCTTATTGTGTCACATGATTACACAGAAGCTATTAACAACAGCTAGTAAAGCTCTTGTGTTGGATCCTATCAGGAAGGGGAGAGTGAGCGCTCAGAATTAAGTTTGAAACCATATTTATTTGTTGTTAAGTAGCTTGGAGCATTAACTTCTCAAGCCATTCATTTGTACATTAATGGATTAGTGACACAAGTTAGTTTTCTGATCGCTTATCCAGTGCAGCCACTGTTACAAGACACAAATAGTTACCTTCAGAAAATGGGAGTAAGGACTTTTTTCCCATTCCTTCTCTGTCCAGTTTTGCTAGCAACATCCGTCACATCTCATGCCAGTAAATCATCATTCAGGTCAATAGCACCAAACAGAGGGAAGCTTAGCAACCCTTAAGTACAAGCACAGAGAAATATGCTAATTTAAAAGCTCTCTGAATTACTATTTTGTTGGGCCTCATTAGTATGCTCTTGGCTGCCAAGAGCTTTTTGTTTTTCTTATCCTTCCTAAATCAAATCGTGTGGCAGCCAGTGATTGGCCAAACACCACCAGAAGCAGGCAGGGACATCAGGTGTCATCTAAACCCCTCATGAAAGAGTCTGTTGCCAGCTCCCTAAGTCACATCTCCTTTAACTGCAGAGACAGGAATTCAGTGCTGTTGTGGGATTTTGTCTTAGAGTCTGATGGCTAACAACACTAGCAGAAAATTTGTAGAAAGGCGAGTGCATGTCTCATAACACTAAACACGTTTAGTGGGCTATTGAGATAATGAATGCACAAGTGAAGAGGGAACAAAATTCCCCTGTCACGGCTGAAGCCTTGTTGCTTCCAGTTTTCACTTTAGACTAAAGTGCAGTTGAAAGGAGAATTCTTGGACAAATGTATGAAAACACTGTTACAAAAATAGAATCATATTTGTAATGATACTTTGCTTTTGCAGCCAAAACCCTACTGCAGATGAAATTTTGTCTTGGGCTCAGAATTTTGACAAGATGATGAAAACACCAGCTGGGAGAAACCTTTTCAGAGAGTTTCTTCGAACAGAGTATAGCGAGGAGAACCTGCTTTTCTGGCTTGCATGTGAAGATCTAAAGAAGGAACAGAACAAGAAAGTTATTGAAGAAAAAGCAAGACTTATATATGAAGATTACATTTCTATCCTGTCACCAAAAGAGGTAAAGCTGTAAATGTTACATTTGCATTTTCTGTTATTCCAGAGCAGAAATGTTATACCCTGGATTGCCAGAGGGGGGTCTGAAAGTCTGCCTCATCTGTCAGATGAAAGTCTTAGTATGGACTTTAAATCAGGGAAAGGAAGGGACAAAAAAATTAGAGACACAGGTGTCAAGCCACTTAGCATCAGTGGCCACAACACCTCAAAGCTCTCTGTAAAAAGGGAATAAAAGAGAAATTCCAGAAACAGAAGGGTGAGAAATGGATATGCTTCTTTAGTAATGCCACATGCCTGCCAGAGAAAGGAAGTAAGTAATGCAAATTCACTTCTGGAGAAAAGGCACCAAAATTAAGGAATTTAAATCAGAATTATTGTAGATTTGTCTGCTGCAACAACTGGCTGGGAGAAAAATCCAAATTTGCACTGGTTATTCCTATGTGAGACCAACTAATCCAGGAATGGAGATCACATATTTCCTCTAATGAAAGGTACAATGATACCTGGGAAATTATATAAAATTTCTTCAATCTTCAAACTGAAATAGACGGATTCTGAAATTATCTTCACTTGGAGTAAAGGAAAGCATCCCCTATCAAACCATGGTTTGAAATAGAGACATATATAAAGATATAAGCACTGTAGATGGACTCATCATGTACCTTTAGCTCCTTTGCCTTGTCTCTGTGCATTGCATCTGGCTTTCTACTCAGTGGCTTTATGCTAATTTCTGCTCACTGTGGACCCTGCTTGCTGTATTTTACTTCTGCACTGCTTTCAGCAGCAATTTGCAACTTCATTCATATGAATGAAGCCAACAGCAATTTATAGCTCCATTATCTTCTCTTGTACCATAGTGTATGCTTTTGCTTTGGAGTGAGGTAACTGCCAGCTCAGCGAGCTAATAATGTGTGTTTCTTACAGTATATATGCATCTCTAGTATATGTACTGAATGCTCCATTGTCTTTCTAAGCCAACATACACCAGCAGTTAAAATTCAAATGCTAAGTGTTGTTGGACTTGGCGTTTATCAAATCTGCTCACCAGCTTGATGCGCTGGACACGTGTGGACATCATCAATCCAGTTGCTCCTGCCCCTGCTAGAAATCTTGAGGCAAACAAGGACTGTCTGCCCTGCTTTAGGTCGGTGCAGGAGCTGAAAAGTTATTTTTCATCCCAGCATCTCATCCCAGGTGTTACCTTTGGCATAGGAGCTAAAATGTTTATCATCACTTGTTCAGGGATGAGGCAGAAGGTTTTTGCGTTCTAAATAAATACCTTGTCTACATCTGTTTAACAAATACCCTTAGTAATTCCAACTAGTTTTCCCATCTGGCTTTAGTGAGTCACTGAAAAACTACAATGTGAATTAACAGAAACATTTTGTTTGCTTGTTTGTTTGTTTTATAACTGCAATTAACTTTTACTATATTCAGTGGACAAAAAAAAAAAACCCACCATCCTACCAAATTTGAGCTTTTTATCCCAGCCATTATATTTGATAATGAAGAATCAATTAGCTAGCTGCATAAACTGGTTTTGCTAAGATATATGTGTGTGTGTATGCATGTGCATGTGTGTCAGTGGGAGAATTGCCTAAATCATTAGTGTGTCATTTCTGTGCTACAGAAATGCAATGGGCTAAGACTGAAATCTATCCAGAGAAATTCCAAAGACACATGGTTGCAACACTGCTTCTCAAAACTACTGTTAACACTACACTCCTGCACGCTGTTGTGTCTAAAAGCAGGTAGTCACTGGCCAAGCAGCCCCACCGATCTGTTCATTCTTGCTGTGCAGCCCGGTCTGCTTGCACAGCTACGTTAGACAATTAATTCCATCAGAAATATTGCCTGGATTGAAATACAGCCTGGAAAATAAATGCCGCTTTCAGAGGGATTGATGCTCTAACATAGCTAGCCGTGGGGCTGCCCAGACAGCCGTGCCAGCGCAAGGGAGGGGGACGCGCCCGGGTGGGAAAGGGGGAGGCTGTGCCTGGCAGCTGGCACGGCAGCACTGCTGCCCACCCGTAAGCGAGGCACGCGGCAGCCCTGAGTGCTTAGATGGAGAGCGTGCATGAAGCAGGAGCAATGGATGTTCTGCTTTAGCAACAGGTACGGTTTGCTAGCGTGAACAGGCAACAGTTTACTCACAGTTAGGCTGCATCATAATTATGCCTTGTGACCGATAACCAACTAACAGAGAATCCTGGAGGAGAAAGATCTTACCTGCTGTGGCAGTAACATACTCCAATGTGCCAACAAACCGAAAAGGTTTGGTTGGCACCAATATTCCAGTTCTATAGTTGGAACTGAAGGTGTAATTAAAATGTATATTTACTCCTCACTACCACACTGTACCATACCATGGCACGCCACTGTATTTCAAAGACTTTGTTTTGCCACATATACAAATACACATCTCACACAGGTCCTGAGTTTTCATGTCTGTACCGTCCTTCATGTGTCAAGCTACCTCAGTATGTGGAGCTTTCCAGGGCTGAACTCAATCCTTCATATGGAATATCTACTTATATGGTTGCAGAGTTGTGAGGTCAGACTGCAACTTGGTGTAAATCACAGTAGCTTAACTGATCTATACTTGGTATTTCTCTCTTAAGTGTTTTGCCCTTTTTCTTCTTAGCTGAATAAACCCTTGCTGGCCCCAGTGGGCTTCCCTGCTACTGCCATTTCGTTTAATCAAGAAGGCATTAATTTTACTGGTTTTAGAGCATTTTGTGGATAAGCTGTACATTCACTCAAATTTCTAAATGATATTCTAAAATCATCTGTGCATTCATCCCAAGCATAATATGCCCTTTTCTGCCTAGGCACAGGAGTTCATTACAAATGGAAAGTAAATGAGAAGCTAAAATTGAAACTTGCTAACAACTTCAATATGGACATATGATATCCTGAAAATTATCAGCTGTTAAAGGGTCTTGAAAAGTAGAATGAATGTGAAATAGTTAATATTAATAGGGAGATTTACACAATAAAAATGACAAAAAACTCTGGGTAATTTGTGAGTAACAAGTGTAGAGTCTGAAAAAAATTGGGAAAAAATCTGTAGCACAGCCAGATGAGAATGCTGAATAGAAAGCTTCTAAAGATTTAACCACAAATAGTCAGGAAAAAAAAAAACATTTCAACTCTCTGAATGAGAATTATTCAACATTCCTTTGAGAGAAATAATTTTAAATAAGTAAAATTTTTTTTTTAAGTTAAATAACATATTTTGGGAAATACAGGTTACTGGAGAGCTTTATTGGGTTGCATTGTACTTATTCTGTTATATAGCTGCACTTCATCTTACAGATCCTAAGATGGATGCAAAGACCAAGTGAAAACTGAAATAAGAGTCAGTCTCAGTCCGTAACTGTGTGGTGGCTCTGACAGAAGCACAGAGCATTACTTGAATAAACTGATAAACTCAGCATGTTCTGTGGAGCCCTGAGAAATAAAGATACACATAACTGCCTTTCCAATATTACTGTTTAATATTAATCTGTTCTCATCTTCTTCAGGTTAGTCTTGATTCCCGGGTGAGAGAAGTGATCAACAGAAACTTGTTGGATCCCAGCCCTCACATGTATGAAGATGCCCAACTCCAGATATACACCCTCATGCACAGAGACTCTTTTCCAAGGTTTTTGAACTCTCAGATTTATAAGTCTCTCGTTGAAAGTATTACAGGCTCTACTTCTGAAACTTAGTTTTAATTTTCAAACAAGATAACTTGATTTTTTTTTTTTTTTTTTGGGTGGGTGGGATGGAAGAAAAGTAGTTTAATAACATCTGGAGCTGGATTCCTGGAGAACTACACTTTAGCACTACTCAGGCTACTGTGAAGAAAACAAATACATATTATGGTCTCTGTCTACATTTTTACCAAGGTCCTCCTTGCTCAAGGTGGCGTGGGAGGGGAACAATGGATTTGCCAAAATACATTTGTTTCACACTTCTTTCACCCTACTGCAGTCAAGATTGCAACGATGTATTTGTAGTTTTATGAACAGTCTCCTTGTGTATCCTCACACTGCATGTGCAAGGTAAAACTGCTTCACTTACCACTTAGTTGTTGCAATATTTAATCCAATAACATAAATTATATCTGTATTTAAGAACTTTTTTTGTGCAATACAGTCTTATGGTACCTAGAAACAACTGCAGCAAACCAGAAAGAGGCTTGCATTTTTTTAACATCACTAACTGAAAAAAAGCCAATTTTTAAGGTGTAGCATTATTCAACATGCTCTACTGAGTACAATACACTGACTTTTTGAAGCCAATATTTCTGTACAGAAAATAAGAGCTATTTATCACTGTTTATTTAAAATAAATCAAGCAGAGGATTCCTCTGGTTGTTCACTGCCAAAACTGTGGCATTTTCATTACAGAGTTTGCAATGTCAAAAAAAAAAAAAAAAAAAAAAAAAGGAAGAAGAAAAAAAAGCACAAACCACTTAAAGGGATCCATAACTGGGTGACACAATCTATGCGCTGATATTGTTTAATTGTTAAAAGAACAAAGATTTTCAATGTACATTTCAGATGTCAGATACTGTAATTGATTTATTAAAGACTGGCTATCCAGTTCTAACACAGTTGTATAATGTTATGTACTTCAGCAAAAAAAAAAAAAAAAAAAAATCATAAAAAACCCCAACCCACAAAAAACAAACAAAAAGCTTGATAATTTAGTTTTTTGAATAAAGAAATTTAATAAAAGATTGCCTACATGTAGCATTTTAGAGCATTTTAGAACATTTTTGATGAAATGCATCTGTCCTGTAAGATTTTTTTTTTTGAAAGCTAAAACCAGTAAAAAATGTTTTTAAACAAAGTAATGTTTTACAAGGTGGTGGGTTAAAGAAATCTTATCTTAGCTTCTAGCCTCATTGATTTTGAGAAACTCCTTGAACACAAGGGGTTTGGAGAGTAATATAAAACCAAACTTCAAGGGCTCATAAACCTACAGTCCTTACCCAAGAAAAATGCCTACAGAAATGCAATGGGTGTCTTTCCTGGGTAAAGAAACCTGTACAAGCCCTTAACCAGAGCTAAGGCAGCACGGTACTCCCATCACTTGGCTGCCATGATGTTTTTAATAGGTGTTTGCTTGGCCTTTTTATCAAAAAAAGTCCAATTTTAGGATGCATTTTTGATTTGAGACTGGGAACTTAAAAAACCCATTATCATACCTACCATATACAAGCAGAATGAGCATTAGCATCCCTCACAAACTGCTAAAGATATACCAAGAAATGGCTTTGAATACTTGTTAAATATATATATATATATGTGTGCATGTATATATATATATTTAATACTGGTCTCAGACTTAAGAGGCAAGGTTCTTCTCACTTACATAGGACTACACGTGGCATAAGCCTGTTGCTTTCAATGGGGCTGGAAGGTCTGGCGGTTGTGTCCTTGAGTGGAATCTAGTCCAAACACACTTGGCTCCAGCCACCCAGTTACTCCTTGCATTGCTCTCGCTGGAGCTGCTGCTGCCGAGGCGGGTCTGCTGCTGTACGGTAACTGGTAGGATGCAGGTCTGAGTTTATTTTCTGGGGCTTATTTTTTTCCTTTGCTTTACTACCTCTCATTTTTTTAATTTATTGAACATGCTTCAAATAGCAAGTCTGGGGAATTTTTTAATCATTCTTTTTACTTGAAACCTGTGTGCTTTTTTTGGATATATATACGAACAACTTAACGAACTGTTTCTTAAACTCATTTGGTTTTGTAATTTATATAGAATTCAGGAGATGATTAAAAGGGCTATTCTCTATTCCCTATGCAAATATTTTAACTGTTTTAGTGTTTGACAAAATGGGATCTAAAAAAAAATCTGCAAAGTGGAAAACAAATCTGTTTACAGTGGCGTTGCTGACTATCCTACCATATTCAGCACTTTTAAATATTGTTATTTATGAAAATGTAGTTTAAAATGCAAAACAAACTATTTATAAATGTTTCTTTTAATAAATACCTGTTTTGTCTGAAAGTGTTATTGTGTTATGACAACTTTATTCATGTTGGTTAGCTACTTACCATTATGAATAAAATACTCAATTACTATACTGATAGAATAATAGATATGATGTTTACAAATCCCGAGGGGGGAAAATTCAGTGAGAAAGGACTGCCTCCTTCTACTGTGAAATACTGTTAGAAAAATGAATTTTTCTGGCTTTTTTCTTAATTGGAATTTAACTATGGTCCTACATATGTCTAGTATCATTTGATTACAGTTATATTTACTGTGGTACTAAACATATACAGCATCATATATGTATATATTTACATAGCGTAATTTCAAGTTTGTTGGCATTTGAGGCACAGTACATTTAGACAACACATCTAAACAATGTGTAAGAGACAAAACTGCATGCATAAGTCTTTACAAATGTAGACTTGAATATTCCTAATGTTACTATTTGATGGTGACCTGCCAGTCATAAGCTATCTTTATAAGATATGTCACACAGGTAGAAGTTCTTGTCAACATAGACAAGTCATCCTTTCAAGGAGTTTTAAAGCTAAATGTGTGGGCCCTAAAGTATTAATCTTGATTTCTAGCATAAGGTTCCAAAATCTGTATTTGGAAACTGTTACATCATTTTGAAAAATATTACACCAATCTTCAGTGTAATACTGCAATGAAATCACGTTCAAAATTTATTGTCTTAAATCCTCTATTTGGAGGGATTTAAGAATTGAACATAACCTACAGAGTTTCTTTCTTGGAGCAAATGCTCATATTAAAATGATTAATTTACATTTCATCTATCAGTTTGGGTTTCCCAAATTGTTTATTAAGAATGGATATGGTCCAAATGGACAACAAATCATGCCATAACATGATCTCATTGCCTATCATACAGTTCTTTGAAGACAAATTGTAAAACATTTGAGCTATTAAACTGATCTATTGTGCATGCAGCGTACAATACACTTTGAAAAACAGCTTAAATACACTTATTCTATAGCCTGGAATAAAATAAGTATGTATTTAACTTGTATTTCAATTTTTAATGAGAATGTATATAGCAAGTGCACTACAGAAAGTGCATTATGTTTTTGTCATTTTTGCCCAGTGTTTAACCTTTTCTGTCAAATAGAGACTAATGCTGAATAGCCACAAATAAGCAGAACACTTGGGCACACTCCTGAGACCTTTAGGTTTCAAAGAAATTTAATATCTATTGTGTTATGCATGTATTCACCTTAGCTGTTTACAGTCAACTTTCAAATAACTGCGCTGAAAGTAGTTTGGGATACCCAGGATAAAACAAAACAACAGACAACATTGGGGGTTTGTAAATTAGATTGAAGGCATTGCAGGTATGATGGAGAAGAGAGAGGTCAGTGTCCCAGGTGGCTGGGCTGCGTGTTAACCACCTGCGTGAGGCAGCAGGGTGCCGTGGAAGCATGGCCATAGTGCTTCCAGGCACACAGCCCCTCCGCCGCTCGCTTCAGCACCTGTGGAGTCCACATAATCCGTTCACAGGACAACCCAGAGTGGACACAAATGAGACTTAAGCTAGTAATAGCTCTGTTTTGAATTGAAAGAATGCTAAAGTGTCTGCTAAGCTGTGGTCTAAACCAAGCAAACAGAGGAGACCTACATTCTACATTAAACAGCTTGGGTTTAGGCTGTCACCTGATGCTTGTTCCCCTGGGCAGCAAAGTCTATCACAAGGAACGTCTGCCGATGGAACCAGTACCTAAAAAAGGTGGGAGGCTCTTTGGGTGAGAGCAACTTGCTGGACTGGCCACACCTGAGCCTGCTTGGGAATGGGACGCTTCTGTATGCAGCAAGTGCTTGCAAAAGCTGCTTAGCATAAGTATTCCACAATACCAGTTCCACAATACAAGAAAGTCTCTTAACTCCCCACACCACAAGGAGTAAAGCTCACACCCCTACAATGTCTGTGAGCCTGCTCCCGGCAGCATTAGCCCAGTCAGCAACCACCCAAGTCCTTATCAAATCCCCAAAGCAAAAAATTAAGGTTGCATGTAGACAGACAGTTGCAATGTCTGCTCCGAGTTGTTTTGAACCATGCTTAACTGCTAACTTCAAAAGAGGGTTTTTCTCAGTCCATAATGCTGTTATTTTGGAGAGACCCAAGAGCAGCACTGTAGCACATCCTGGGACATGGCTGCAATGGCAAAGGTCCAGTCCTGTTCACCTGCAGCCTGAGTACATTTGCAGTGACAAAACATTAGTTCCTTTCACAGAGGTCCTCAATACTTCTGCCAGCAGTGGATGTGATGCTTGTGAGATGGAAGAACAAAGCAATAATGGTGCCAAAATCAGCTGGAAAAAAACCTGACATAGACATTGTCTTCATATTACTGTAAAGTTATACGAAAAGCCAGATTTTGCCCCTTTATCCATAAACTCACTCTGTGGAAATCCATCCTTCTGATTTAAAACAGGGATACAAATCAGTGACTCAAAGGCTAACCATCATTCATTGACTCATACTACATTTTTTCTTCTCAAATGCTTTACATTAAAACCCCCTTACTCTAAATTCCCCGAGACCTGCATACTTCTCTCACAAGCAGGGTTCACACAGCCGTTAAGACTCTCATAATTTCTTTCATTGTTACAGAGCACCAAAATATTTGGTCTATTAAATTAATAAATTTGATAATTTTTCCTTTCCTCTTCTGAAAGAAGGCTTCAGGGAGCTTCACGGGCGGGCAGCAGTGAGTGCAGGGGAAGCTTTCGGTGGGTAAGATTTCCTAAGCAATGGCCTGGGCTGTTTATCAGTGCCAGGCTAGTCGCACAGACTCTGCATTCTCCACAAAGTTCTTCAAGTGTGATTTGACTTGTAAATTATTGTTACAGTGTATTTTGCCAAAAAACATTACTCAAAGTGGTGCATTTACAATCATAGGAAAATGTTTTTATCCAACCAGTCATTTTAATGTTTAATATTGCGATTAACAATTTCTCACATTATACGTATTGCCTTTGGATTTCCACAATGGAATAAGACTCCTAGGTTTTCATTTGTGACTACCAAAACTAAGGTGTGCAAGCATTACTCTTGCTTTTTGATACTACATGCATGAAAATAACAATTTACTAACGTATCGTATGGAAGTCACTGTTTCTCAGTCAGTGTAATTTAGTTGTACGATTACCTAGTTCTGTTTAGACATGAACAAGGACAGAAGAACAGCAAAGACCTGATTTTGACTCCTCCAATGATTGTAATACAAAATACTGCCTAATAAAATGTTATGGATAGTTGCACATTTTTATAATAAAGTATATTCTTCA